TTTATTGACTTTTTGTCTGGATGATCTATCCATTGATGTAAGTGGGGTATTAAGATCCCCTACTATTATTATGTTGTTGTTAACGTCTCCTTTTAGTTTTGTTAATAGTTGCTTTATGTCATGATGCTTTTTGACTTTCTGGTTTTTTAAGGTCTACAAAGAGGTATTTTATTACAACTTGGAGGTGTATTTGTTTTTCACCCTTATTAAGAATACTTCGTACCAATAACATGCAGAAATAATGATGTGCTTTTGTGATGTGATTCAATTAAAAAAGAGAGAGGGAATATGCGAACCTTACCTTATCATAAATTGTAGCATTTCGAGCTGCTGTTGAAACCCACACCTCCTTGAAGAATTTGTCACTCACTGGATCCTGAATGTCTTCACTTGGGTCAGAAAGATAGCCAAGGACAACCCTGAAATACAAGTGCACTCCAAAATGAGTCACTGAGATAAAGCAGCTTGCTGCGGGCATTGTTGCTAATGGTAACGTATTTCAGGCACTCAAGCACAGAAGTCCATTTTTTTTTTAGGAAATAAGGAAGCCATTAAAACTAAGTGTGTGTGTGTGTGTGTGTGTGTGTGTGTGTGTGTGTATATAGTATAGGATTAGCATTCAAAATATGTGCCAGCAAATGTGCTAAGCCCTTTCCAAGAACTATCATAGTAAATCCTCAACAAGCTTACGAAGAAGCAAGTATTATTATCTTCATTTTACAGATATGGAAACTAAGGCATAGAGAGGTTAAATAACTTGTTCAAGGTCTTACAGCTGGTAAGCGGTAGATCTGGGACTCCATCCAGGACCATCCAACTCCCAAACCTGTGCTCTTAACCATGACTTGATCTTCCCATCACCCTCACTCCCTCCCTCTCTTCCTTGACCTTGACTATGCTGAACTCCAGGGTACAGAAATGAATACAAAAGACATGGCGCCTCTCTAAGTAGAGTTAAATTTGGTGGGCGAGATCAACAATGAATAAATAACCACCCTCAAAAGGAATTAATGAAAATTGTGATAAATACCGGATGTGCTTTAAGAGTATCAGGTGGGAGTAGTCAGGGAGGATTTTCCTTCCCCACCTGTTTGCCTAACCCCACCTGCCATCTTTCAGGATTCAGTACAAGGTCACTTCTACAACACTGTTTGTGGCTCCCCTTCTCCCATCTCCCATTTCTCCCCATCAATCCTGGGAGATTTGAACATTCTTCCTTTGTTCCCCCACTGTACATCCTATAAGCTTTGTTTTTATCAGAGCGCCTGCAATTCTTTATGCAATTTCTGTTTTTGACAGGTCCCTCTCCCACTCTAGCATGTAAATTCTTTGAGAGAACATGACCTGGCTTTGCTCATATCCCCACAGTGTTTGGCATGAAAGAAGTTACATACTAGATGTTGTAGGAATTGATCATATATAAACAGGGGACTAGAAATAACAAAAAATTCTCAAGTAAAGCAAGACAAGTTTTAGAGGTCATATTTGAAAATTAGAAAACCTTTGTACTTATAGAAGGCCTAAGGGTAAAAAAGTGTTTCCACTGTAATCCTGTGAGGTAGATGGTACACGATTCCCATTTTGCAGATGGGAAACTAAAGTTTGGGGACATACTGTAATAGAGGTAGAATTCAAACTGAGTCCAAAGCCCTTTTCTCATACGCCTGACTGTTTCAAAGAATACCAAAAAGGCTTGTGCTACATCAGAAATAGAAGTTGGGAAATAGGCCTTACAAGGACTTTGGCTTTTACATTGAGTGAAATTGGGACATACTGCAGACAGTGGAGCAGATAGGATCTGACTTACATATTAAAATATGGCGGCTGTACTGAGAACAGACTGTGCGGGGCAAGGGTGGAAACAGGGGGCCCAGTTAGGAGTTACTGCAGTAATCTAGGTGAGAGATGATGGTGGCTGGGGTGGTGGAGAGAGGGGTAGAGCTAACATGTTTTCCTGATAGAGTTGATACAGGGTGTAAGAAAAAGTGAGGCATTATGAATGACTAAAACAGGTTTGGCTTGAGCAACTAGAAGAATGTAGCTGCCATTAGCTGAGATGGGGAATTCTTTGGGTAGAGCCAGTTTGTGGGCCAAGACCGAGAATTCAATTTTGAACCTGTTGAGACATCTATTAAACATTCAAGTGGCAATGCAAAGTAGACAGCTGGATAAATGAGTCTGGAGTTTGGCAGAGAAGGCCTGGCTGGAGACATAAATTTGAGAATTGTCCATATATATATATGCATAAAGCCATGTGACTGTAACTGAGTTTACCAAAGGAGTGAGTATAGACAGAGAAGAGGCCCCAGTGCACCTCAACAGTCGGGGAGAGGAGGAGCAGCCAGTGAGGCTGGAGAAAAGCGAGGATGTGGTATCCTGGAACCACATGAAGTACGTCAAGGAGAATTGTGTCAAATTCAGATGAGAATTGACCATTGGATTTAACAGTGTGGAGGTTATTATATTATTACCCTTTCTGTATTTGAATAAATGTAGATTTACATCACTTTTAATGGCTGCAGAATTTCCCATCATGTGAACTTTCTTTAACCAATTATTTTATTATGACCTTTTGGGTGGTTTCCAGTTTTTCATTATTACGAACAATGCTACAAGGAACATAATTTATTCATTACATATAATACTTTGTGAGTTTCTAGGATTATTTCACTAAGATAAATTTTAGAATTAAAATTCCTTGGTTAAAGAATATGCAAAATTTACTTCAGGAAAGGTAACACATACACTATTAACCATGCATGTTCCCCAGTCATCTCCAACAGTATCAACTCCTGGAAAAGCTTAGCCAGTTTCATAGGGATAAAAGGGCCTCTCATTTTAGTTTTAGTCTGCACTTTTCCTGCTATATAAAAATTCTGTAAAATAAATGGACCTGGCACTATGGGCTCACTAGGATTCTTAGAGTTTTATGACCTCAAAATTCTATTTCCACTTCAAATAATGTCTCCTTCAGACTATATAGGAATAATTTTTAAAAAGGATTTAAGGGATGATGTTGGCACACAGATGCTGGCTGCCCATTGAGACCAAAGCAAAATTTTACTGCAGCAAATTTGAAAGACAGTTCAAGTTAAGACAATAAGTCAATTATAATAATAACTCTGATTTGGGTCAGGTCTAACCAGCTGAAAACTGAGCAAAAAGAACATTTCTATAACTTTGCTTTTAAATTAAAACAAGAGGTGAGGTAATGTGTCCACCAAATTATCATTAAGAGCTTGTTTGTAGAAAAAGCATTTAAATAAGTCTATAACAGATAATATTTAGTAATAAATTATTTTCTCTCCATTTTTTAATGATAAGAAATTTATATTAAAATGCATAGTAAAAGTAATATGAAGTACTCAGTATTCTTTTGAGGACTAAGGTTTGAGAGAAAGCTTGATTTTATGTTGGTGTGTATAATGGCAATTATCTAACGTTTAGTTCTTTATGCATCAGTGGAACTGTAGGAAAACTGCAGAAAATAGTTTCTGCTCTTTCTGTTCCTCATGTCTATCACTTTAAATGATTCTGAGCTCTGCTTGTGAATAATGGTTTCTGTTGAGTGATGGTTACATCCATAAAGTTTGGATAATTTTCTAGGACTTAATGAACTGTTCAGCAAATAGCTGTGACATTCAGTGCAGTACCCTGATGGTTGATTCTATTTAGAATTGATTTCACATTGAAATGTGTCTCCCTATTTCTATTCAAAAATAGCCCAGATGGAAAACGGATTGAAGTTGCCTTTTTTTTAAGCGAGAAAATGGCTGTGCTGTAGGCCACAATATTTATCTCTGAGAACATTTCCTAACAAAAAGAGCTAAAATCGACTCAAAGTTTTTGTGGTGCTTTTTAATATATTGTCTGTGTTCGCCATTGGCACAAAGGGAACATATTGTTCAAGAACAGCCGCCTCTTTAAGACAGTTTGAAAACTGCCAGGAAAAATAAAGGCACCTCAGAATAGGCTTAGCATGAAATGTACAGAATCAGCATAAAAAAGTTAAAATAAAACTCATATGATTACTGAAAAACAACCCCCCCAATAATGAAAACCCTAAAGCTTGTTTTTTAATAGGATGACTCAACATTATAAAGATGTCAATTCTTTTTATATTAATCTATAAATCCACTGTAATCCCAATAAAAAACTAATGAGATAACTTGAATAAATAATTCTAAGGTTCACATGGAAGAATGAATATTTAAGAGTAGCCAAGATTATTCTGGAGAAGTGGTATGGCAAGAAGGAGTATTAAAGTGTCCAGCTACAATATTTAAAATGGTATCCCATTGACATGCAACTAAACAGATTTACTATAGAACAGAATAAAAAGACTAGAGATAAGTCAGGATGTATGGCAATTCAGTGTTTCATAAAGCGGCATTGCAGATTAGAGAGGCAAAGAGTACTGCCCATGATACAGTTCTGGATCAGATGGTAGGCTGGGGGAAAAAAGTTAGAGTCCCTACCTCATTTCTTACATTAAAATAAATTGCAGATGTTAAATGTACAAAGTAATATCAAATAAGCACTAGAAAAAAACAAAAGTAAATATTTGATCTTGGGCTGAGGAAGCTATTCTAAGCATATAAGAAAAGGGAAAAAGAAGAAAAAATTGATAGATTTGATTAATAAGAATTGAAAAGTTTCCCGCAAATATTCTAAATATGATTCAAAGGCAATTGACAAATCAGATTTGCAACAAATGTGACAAAGGAATTAGCCTCTTATAGACTTAAATTACTTATAAATCATTAAAAGAAAACGAAACACTCCAACAAAATGGGCAAAGGACATGAGTAGGCTAGGTAGTTTACAAAAGAAAAGTTATAAATGGCTAATGAGCACCTTTTAAAAAACCCTCAAAAACGCAAATTAAAATAAGGAAATTCCATTTGAAATCCAACAGATTGGCAAAGATTAAATAATAGAACTCAGTATTAGTAAAGATAGGCAGAATAAGCCCTCTGAAACATTACTAGTGATACAATAAGAAGGTAGAGGGCAAAGGAAACTGCACACTTCCTTCGACAAGAAATTCCATAGTTAGGATTTAGTTAAGGAAACAATTAAGAAGGTAAACAAGATGCTATCTACAAATATACTCATTCTTTATATTAGTGAAAAATCTGCCTATCAATGAGGTACAGTCAGCCCTCCCTATCTGCATCCAAGGATTCAACCAACCAGGGGTGGAAAAGTCTATATGATGGTTGCATCTGTACTAAACGTCTACAGACAACCCTTTTTCTTCTCATTATTCCCTAAACAATACAGTACAACAACTATTTCCATAGCATTTACATTGTATTAGGAGGTATTATAAGTAATCCTGAGATGATTTAAAGTATATGGGAGCATGTGAGCAGCTTACATGTTAATACTATGCCATTTTATATAAGGGATTTGAGCATCCACGGATTCTAGTATCCTCTGGGGTCCTGGAATCAATTGCCCCGCAGATACCAAGGGGGGACTGTATTAGTTAAAGGAATTATGGCATACTCATATCATGTAACACAATGCAGCTATTCAATGTTATGGAAGAATACTTAATGACATGGAAAAGTATGTGTAACTACTTTTTTAAAGAACTTTGAGGAAGTGCAAGACCCTAAGTATGTTTTTTAAAAAAGAAATATAGTATAGTAATATATGTATAGAAAAAAGTTAAATGATATACATCAAATGTTAAAATTATTAGCACTGGGTAGTGGGGTTACAAGTGAATTTAATTACCTTATTGCTTTTCTGTATTTGCCAATTGTCTACAACGAAAATATGCTGTAATCAGAACCCTCTACCTCTATAATTATGATACACTTAGAAAGTTATAAAGAAGCTCACCACTTTAAAGAGAATACTTAAGTTGTGACGGAACTGAAAAGATACACTTTATTTCTAGTTTACAGGAGGAAATATTTGTTTCCTCATCTATGCTGCAGTAGGCAAGCAATGGGTTGATTAACAGGGTACTAATTTCCAACTCTTCTCTACTAAACAAAAGAAATGAATATTAGAAGCTAATTGAAATGTCAATGGTTTGAAAAAATCTTAATGGCAAAACAATTTGTAACAAAGGCAATAAATACAGCAATAAAGACTGTGAGAGTATTGACAGTCAGATTTGGGGTGACGGATTTGCTGAGCTCCTGGGGCAGAGATTGCAGAATGAATGTCTCTGGAACTGAAGATTATCTTGGCTCCTGAAAGCCAGAGTCTGGACTGTGAGGTATGAGGGAGATGGCTGCTGGCATCTGCAGGGAGCGGAGCGCTCCTTACGTGCCTATCTGCGAGCAAACCAGCTTCCAAACGCGACCGTTAAGGCTGGAGGGTTAAAACAATAGAGCTGCAATGCGTTATCCATGCAGCGCTTTCCCCAAATAGCTTAGGGCTTAATCAGGGACGCTTGCTGCTCTCCCTGTAGAGGCCACAGTGACATCTCATCCTGGCAAATACAGTTCTAGAACCAAAGAACTGGGGACTTGCTGCAAAGGCCTAGAGGTGGGAGAGTGGTCGGAGTGTTCCTCGGACAGTGGGGGGCTCCCAGAGTGAGAGGAGATGAGGTAAGAAGCCACTGGGGAGTGGTGAGCGGAGTGACAGGATCTGAGGTAGGTTCTAGAAGGATCACTCTGACCACTGAGACTGGACTACGGGGGCCAAGGTGGGGCTAGAAAGTTCTCTGTAACTCTTAATTGAAGGAAGGACTCATTTAGGGCCACACAGCCTTTGCTTCCTAGCTGAGGGTTCTCTCAACTTGACCACAGATGTGTTTAAACTCACATCTTCTTGCAGAGGATCAAGAATCTTCCATGTCTGGAGTCATCTTAAATCTGAGAACTGAAGTTTCCACGTTTAAATTTAACACCAGTAGTCACTGGCAGTCTCCTTTCATAATATTCATTATATCCTTGTATTCTTGGGACTATTACAATTTTTAAAAATGGACTCACTTTAAAAAAACTTAAATAGACACTAGATGGTTTGACCTGGCCTGGTCCTAAATCAATTAATAGATTTAAAATGCTAGTTTTCTCTATTACACATAAAAATAATAAAAACTATTAAAATAGAAAATGTTTGTGCCCATCTAAAGTCATTTCACACAGCACTGGTGATTCACATCCTGTATTCTGGGAGACTGTTTCAGACGAGGAAGAACTGGAGACGGCATGTTGCCGAGGGCAGGAGGCTGGGCTGGGTTCCAGTGCCCACTGCAGAGGAACCACATAAGAGACACACAGGAGGACCCACCTAAAGCACTGCAGCCGAAGTCCTTGGGCAAACCGGCCAGCTTGGTACTCTTCTCCATCCATTACTGAAGGGACTGTCTCTGTGTCCTGCACGATGACAGCCATCTCACTGTCACGCTTTCCCAGCATGCTTCGGTCATTTATGTTGGCAGAGCCTATAAGGAGAAACAGTGAAACTGAACAATCTTCTCATCCATTGTAGCAGACACTGTTGGTTGCTCTCCCCACTCAATTCCTCCTTGCTAACAAAACCCAGGGAGTTCAGGTTATCAAGAGACGCTGTGCTTTAGGGAGGCGGGGCCCTCCCTAACCCAGGGGTGAATCTTGATCAGGCTAAGCCAGCCACGGTAATTTCATTATTTTTGCCAGTGATTTGGCTTAGGAATGGGCACTTGACATGTTCCTAGCCAGCGCAACGTGAAGGAAAGTATGTTAGGGGCTTCCAAGAAAGTTTTTCTCCTTCTTATAAACAGACACAAGAATGAGATGCTATCTCTTCCAACCTTTGGAAATTTGGACCTGAACATTTGGATAAGGACGTGATTCTGGGAGCTGCTATGGCTCTTTGGTAACCACTAGGGGACAAACAGACAAGCTGAAGACGGCAGAGCAGAAAGAAGACTCTGGGTCTTTAAGTCACTGAACTGGTCAACCCTAGAATTTTCTTATATGAAATAATACATTTTCCTTACTGTTTCACACTAATTTTAGCTGAATTTTCTATCTTGTGGCTCAAAGGATTCTAACTGATATTCATTAAGCACACAAAGAAAAAACACATGCTCACCAGTTCAGTTCAGTCAGCTTCTAGACTTAAAAATCAGACTCCATACACTTTAACTTATGGTCACATAATTATGAATGTCAATACCCAAGAGTGCCTTCACAATCAACAGAGTCCACTCTCAAATACAGATTTTCATTAGTGGCTTTGGGTTTTCCATTCTCTTGCCTCACTTGTGTGGCATGCCAACAGCTTCTGTATCAACTTCTCTCCCTTCTATTTTTAAATCCAAATGAGCTGAGAATGTTGACTTTCACATGTGAAGGGCATATTAAATCAACTTGCGCCTTCTGCACTCCTCTGTCATGTATTCAGAAACCCCATTACGTTGTCTGCATTTAACCACTGTGGATTTACGCTTTTGAATCCTTGAGGTGTCCTACAAACTACAGACAGGGGCTGACTGATTTTTTTCTTTTTGTTCCTCTTGCCCTAGTCACACATTCCACTGCTTCTGCAGACACGGAGCAGAAGGGTCGGGTTGAACAGGAGGGCTGGGTACTCTCTGCGATGGGGACAGTAAGGGTGTAAGGGGACAGCAGCCCTGCCCTGAGCCCAAATGGTGGAATGCTGTACATGAGAAAAAACTGGCCCTTCCTGAAGAGACTTGACAATGTTGTCGCATAGTTAATAGAAATCTGTGATAACTATGGATGTCAGTGGTGCCCCACAGTGACCCTGGGTGACAGAGAAAGGATGGAGCACCTCACAGACATTTGGGAGCATCATTGGAGCACTGTAAGGTGGGAACCATTGAAACACTTTGTTTTGTTAGCAACAAATAGTCCTTTACACATACACTTACATTTTGCTTACGCTATAAAATTTGCAGCCATATCTTTGGGCTTGACAGTTGGCCCAGCATTAATTTGGGCAAAGTTATTTAATCTTTCTCAGCTTTAATTTGATTTTTTATAAACTGAGATCATAATATAGACTTTGTAGGATTGTTGTGAGAATTAAGTAAGACCATGTGAAAGCACTTACTGATCTATAAACTGCTCTACAAAGGTTAATGCTTTACTGGCATTATTATCAGATACTTCTTAATGCTGTAACATCTGCACTAGAGAATACTGCCATACGAAGGGACAATTGGCTGGCAGGTAGCATTTGTGTGAAAGAGGCCTCCTCTCTGGGTTAGTCACCCTTCGCCCAGGTGTGTGAGCTATAAGGCGGTGAGGAACAAAGTCCCACAGTGTTGCTTTGTGGCTCCACTATCCCCAGGGTCCCGGCAGAGGCTGCTCTTGGGCTGGGGGCTGCTCTTCATTATCAGGAAAACAGGGGATGTGAGTCCCTGGAGATCCTCCTCCACTCACACACACACACACACATACACACTTTCACATCAGGCCCCTAGTCTGCCTCCCACCGCAGCAGGCTGCACACTCCCAAGGGGAGGAACGCATTTCTGGCATTCTGAGCTGGAATCCTTAGAGAGAGGGTGTGGGTCTTGTACTTCAGTGACCCATCTGGGGTTACCCAGAGCACTGACCCTCACCACACTGGATAAGTGAAATGGCTACTATTTAAAAGGAATGTGAAGAAAGGGAGGAGAAAATTTGAGAAGAATTTAATAAATGAGACACTGAAAATTAGATATTGATGGATGTCAATGTTACCTCCATTCAGTTAAACATTCCCATGTTCCGAAAACCAAATTCAGAATAGCAGATGTAGTATTACCCCATTTCTTTTTTTTTTTCTTGTTTTTGCTGAGGAAGATCACCCTGAGCTAACATCCGCTGCCAATCTTCCTCTTTTTGTACGTGAACTGCCACCACACCATGGCCACTGACAGATGAGTGGTGTAGGTCCGCACCTGGGGAACTGAACCCGGGCTGCCAAAGCAGAGTGCGCCAAACTTAACCACTAGGCCACCAGGGCTGGCCGTACCCCATTTCCATACAACATATGAGGAAGAAGGAAGGCAAGGTCTCTTGAAAGATACACACTGAACTACTAAGAGTGGCCACTGCCCTCTGACCAAGAGAGGGAGGACAATAAGGGGAATTTTGACTTTTTACTCTATATGTGCCCTTAGAGTTTGAATTGTTTACAACAAATATGCTTTGTATTCATGTATTACTTTTTATGGTAACTGCAATCCCCTGTTTTTATTAGAACATTGCCTTAACAATTTAAAGCCACTTAATCTTTAGAAAATGACCTTTTCTAAGTCTGCTATTAGGGAACTTTTTAAACATCATGAAATATAGCAAAATACAAAAGAGTGTATGAAAACATATATGTACACTTAGGCAATAATAAAACATCACAATTTATCACCCAAGCTGAAAAACAGAACATTACCACATCCCAGAAGCCCTCAGGTGTCTCTCCATGCATGCCCTTCCCTCCCCAAGAGAGAGACTTTATAAAGGATTTTCTGTTCATCATGCTCTGCATGTTTTCCTAAACAAAAAAAGTAGTTTACTTTTCACTTGTTTTTAATTGTATAAATGGAATCACATAGTAGATAATCTTTTGAGATTTGCTTCTTTCATTCAATAGTATGTCTTTGGGATTTATCTGTGCATAATTGTAATACATTATTTTCCTTGAGTGAGCATACCAGGACTTATTTATCTATTCTGCTGTTGTTGGAAGTTTGGGCTGTTTCCAGAATTCTGCTGTGATGCACAATTATGCACTGCATAGCTGTGTATATGTTTCCTGGTGCACACAAGTGGGAGTTTACCAAATTCGTAAATTCCTACGAATTTACCCGTACGTAGGAATGGAGTCCCTGGTGCTCCACAGCCTTGCCAATATTTGGATTGTCCAACTTTTTAATTTTTGCCAATTGGTATTTTTGTTGTCTTTTTATTATATTAATGAGGATGAAAATCTTTCCTGTTTATGGGCCTCAGGTATGTTCTCTTTGGTGACGTTCCTACACAATTCCTTTGCCCATTTTTCTTTGGATGGTTGTCTTGTCTTATTGATTAATAGGAATTCTTTATGTGTTTTGAATATTAAGTGTGTTGCAAATATCTTTTTTCAGTTTGTGGTTTATCTTTTTATTCTCTTTATAGTATCTTTTAATGAATGAAGTTCTGAATTTTAATGCAGTTGGATTTATCTATCTTTTCCTTTGTGGTTTGCGCTTTTTTTTAATGTCTTGTTTCAGAAATTGTGGATCCTTCTGTGGTAGGCAGAATAATGGCCCCCAAAGATGACCATGTCCTAATCCCCAAAGTCTGTGAATATGTTATGTTACGTGGTAAAGAATTAAGGCTACAGACGGAATTAAGGTTGCTAATCAGCTGACCTTAAAATAGGGAGGTTATCCTGGATTATCCTGGTGGGCCCAATATAATCACAAGAGTCCTTAAAAGTGAAGGGAATTCAGAGGGAGATGTGATGACAGAAGAATGGGTTGAGGCTTTTGGGAACCTTCAGAAAGATGTAACATTGCTGCCTTCAAAGAAGGAGGAAAGGGCCATGGGCCAAGGAATGTTGGCAGCCTCTAGAAGCTGGAAAAAGCAAGGAAATGGATTCTCCCTTAGAGCCTCCAGAAACTAATGCAGCCCTGCTGACACCCTGATTTTAGCCCAGTGAGACTCATGTTGGACTTCTAACCTACAGAACTGTTAGATAATAAGTCTATGATGTTTTAAGCCACTAAGTTTGTGGTCATTTGTTATAGGAGTAACTGACAACTAATACACCAAATCTACCCTGTTTTAGCTTATGTGTTTTAAAGGAAAACTGATTCTTCTATTGAGCCCAAATGGGCTACTCAGTACTTTCTACCCACTTGTGTCCCCCGTACCTCCAGTCCAGAAGTTTTCAGCTCAGACTGCACATGAGTGACACCTAGGAAGCTTTTAAAAAATATTGGTGCCAAAAACAAAAACAAAAAACCTTGATGCCTGTGCCCCAAACCAAACCAATTAATCAGAATTTCTGGAGGGAGGAACCAGGCATTAGTATTTTCCCCCAATACCACTCCATCCCTTTATGTATCCATTTTTTGGATCTATTTTAAAGTAAATTGCAGATATGAACAAACTTCCCCCTAAATAACATATCTTTTAAAGCTCCCCAGGCAATTCTAATGCAGCCAGGGTGGAGACCCAAGGGACCAGATCAAGGGTAACCCCTCTTTACCGGGGCAGCCCTTCAACCACAGACTCTCATCAGCCAGTCTCAAGCCTGCCCTTCAAGCACTGATATTCATTCTCTCCACATAGTTTCGCACCTTACCCACCCTCGTTGATTGCCTCTGGGCCTTCTTGCTCCAGTTGGGCAAGACCCATCTGATGTTTCTGGTATTGTTGGAAAGAGTACCTGGCCCTTCTAGACCGTGAGCTCTGCTGGGCAGTGGCACTGTTTGGTCCAGGTTGTGTATCTCCCTATTGTGTTTGCAGTGGATTAGTGAACACTAAAAAAACAATCGTCTCACTTAGTCATCAGGATAGATGTAAATTCTACTTAAAGACAGCCTTTTGTGTTTAGGAAAGCAAATAAACATTAGTTTGGTTAAGTGCCAATATTAAGATGGATTAGAAAACTGGACTTGGCCACAAATTTCATGACCAGCAGGGCCTCCCAGGGCAAGAGAGAATTCAAGCTACACATAAAAGAGATCTTCAATGGGAGAAAACAAGTATTTGCTCATGAGGAAAAAATGATGATAAACAATTAGTCATTTTTCTTTATGTCAAGTATTCAATAATTCTGTCATAAATTTGCCATGTTAGAAAATTTAATCACAGGTTACTTTAACCTCTTGTAAGCTTTTAAATATATGCTTAACACCTGTAAAATATTCTCAATCTAACTTCTCAAACTCCTCTCTGAGAATTTTAAACACGGTTCTCTGTGTTATAAACTTAAACAGGCTGCTGTTTGAGAGCAACAATAAGCCCGCTTCTCTCAGAGTTTCCACTAAGATAAAAAGAACAAAGGAACCTTTGGATTTTTCCATGGAGGAACTGTGTTCTGCCCTTGGGAAGGAGAAAAAGAAATCCAGCCTCTAAAGACTAGCAAGTAAGACCTCTTCATCCTCCCAAGGCCACATCTTCAGTTGCAAGAAAACAGATATGAGTTATGTGTGAAATTGATCAATTCTTGCTAGCCTAAGTACATTGCAGCCTCTGAGGATTCAGAGAACTTTCTAGAAAATAAATCAATTAAAAAACTCAACAAACCCATTTAACTCTTAGCTCTGTTACTGAAAACTACCTTGCATTTATACTTCATGTAAACCAAAGCCGGCTGAAAGTCAAAATGACCGTTAAAAGGAAAAATATTAACATCTGTCAATTTTTACTTCAAGTGTTCTGAAGTCTTGCTGAAGAGATCAATTTTATTTGGCTTTGTTTGTTTTTCCATTTCAGCAAACACCAATATTTTTCCTTTCCTATTGTCATTGCCAAATTTAATATAAAAATATTCTGAGATTGGCTTCTGAACAGCAAGGCCAGAGTAGCTTGGGGAAAATAAGAGAAACCTTGTTTATTGGGGGTAGAGGGCAGTTAATAAATCCCTAAAGAGCTTTGATCCATACAGAGAAAGAGATGGAAGACACAGGATATTTTTCTTAAATGCCCTGTATAAGTATTAAAAAAAATGTGTGTGTGTGTGTGTGTGTACATATCACCACACTATGGTCTATACATTTTCTGGCTTCAGAACTACTTTTCTTTCTTTTCAAATCATGTTCCAGATAAGACAGTCTCATTCCTCCTAGATATATGATTTTTTTTCTTTTCTCAGTGGAGGATGGAGATGGAAAAGGCACATTTACTGCCAAAAAATTTCAAAACCGTCCATGACATTTAGTTTCTTAAAGAATAGGGAAGTATCTTATTATAGCTGAGGAACTACATTTTATTTAAACAGATGAGCGGAATTTCCAATAGTGGGACACATCGTATCTCTAAGTAACATCCCCCACCCTTGTCAATTCATTTCTGGCTGGTTATTAATAGTCTGTTTCTCCTCCTGGCCTTTCAGTGTTCGTGCAACATAATATTAGAAGGCAAAACCATTCAATGATGGGAAAATGAAACTTTCCATGTGTATAAAAGAATGACGCTGAGCATCCACCACTCTGGTCAAGTTGATCCAACCTGGGTAGATTGTATAACCAGTAACTGTTGTACGAGTCTGTCAGTGGGGAGAGGACTTGGAGAAATCTACTGTGTCTCCTTGACAAGAAAAGATTGCAGACCTTAGTTTGGAACGACACCATATCATTCCTACACAATTTCTACCTCACCGCACCCCGCCCCCCAAAGCTGGTCTGCTCTGCACCCTGATTAATAACATCTAAAACACAGACTCTAGGGGGAAAATGGTAAGCATAGACACAGCAACATTTTAATATCCTTCCAATTCTGACTCTTGCATAACTTCAGATCTGTGGTAATGGTTCGGTGGATGTGGTGCCAGCACATACAAATTACCATCGCATACTCATTTGTGATACATTTCCTCTCCCTGTTTCTCCCCCTCCAATCCTCGAAATCTAGGTACTTGGATTCAAAATAAAAATAAGGGAATAATAAAGAATTAATGAGAAAAGGCACTGCTGGGTTAAGCTGCTGCCTCTGGATACTGTCATTTGCACAATGGCCACTTAATTGCTCTCTGTTTCTTTACAGATAAAAACAGGGATGAGAAAAGATGTAAGCAAAAAAGATTGCTTCAGAAATGTTTTAGATATTGTGTTACTGTCCCTCTCAACTGCAAAGGAAGCTTAGGAGGAATAGAAAGAAAGATTTTTGTACGAGGTACGTCAACTAGCAAGGAACACAATTATAGACCATGTACGTACCAATAATAACAGTGTTGTCATCAGCAATTAGCAGCTTGCTGTGGACATAGATGAGCTCAGTGACTAGGTTTCCTTCAAGCTCTGCATGTGTTCTGAGACCACAGAATGATATGTAATTTATCCACTGATTGCCAACTGCAAATTGAAAAAGAAATTACTAAAATTAGTATGACCAAGCTCAATAAAGGCACATGAAATTTACTGTTTTTCAAAACAATAGGTTACTTAAGCAGGTTGCTAAAAATAGATTGTAAATAATGTATGTATGTGTATGTATAATTTCAGAATTTACCCAGGATCTATTTTTGCTATCTGAAGAGTTTTATACTGTTAATATGAATGGATATACATTTTTTAAAAATCATATTGAAGTGCTTTCTATGAAATCACTTTGCTGAGGCAATCCAAAACTATATTCACATATAAACATTTTATTTCAATGATTTGGTGAGTAACTACTTAAGTGTGATAATTAAAGCAGAGCCAGAGTAGGTAACCCAAGGCTTCAGGTGACGTTTGCGTCTATCTTGGTTGACACTGCTGCAGTTTAAATCAGATACAAGATGTGCGCCCAAACTGCCAGATGTATCCATAGTTTGTAGCATATTCAGCACAAAGTGGCAGTTAAATTTTACAGACTCCGGGTAAATAAAAATGTTGGCAGTTAAATAACACTCCTCTTTCTAAATCATTAAAATTAGGAAATGAAAAAATCCTGACTACATTTGACTTTGGAGAATTTTCTTCAGAGCAAGCAGTACCAGGTTTGTACTTTAAAGCGTACTTTAAGTGCCTCTCGCCATGTGAGGGCCATTCATGTGATAAGAAGAAATGCATTCCATACCAAGCCAACCCATAATCATTACCCTGGCATGAGTGTTAGTCACAAGATTTTATGGTCCCTCGCCAACATAGCAGTCGTCCTGGATAAGCAAAGTCTGACACCAAGAATAAATGGAGTGGAACCAAAACATGATGAATTCTACTAGAAAGAGAATATAAATCATTTTTTTTTCTTTAAGAGAATCTGAAGCATACTAATAGAAACAAGAGTAGTTCATATTCCATTTACTGAAATTTCTATGTATTAGTGATGTTTCTTATTTTACTGTTGATGTTATTCTACTGTTGATTCTATTAAATTTGGGTATCTTGGAAAGAAATTCATTCACAGCTTATGTACAGAGATTTCTCCATTTGCAAATAACCCTTACCTTATATATATGAGTGATCTTGTAGCCGTGTTTGCCAAGAGTTTGTGTGTTAGTGTACGGGTACATTACGTGTAAGGGATGCATTTCTAAAAAGTTTCACATAAATGAGATTTTTGCAAATCAATTTCTTCCCCATTTGTTAATGTTATATTGGAAAGAGGCTTCAGCTAAAGCATCACTTCCTCTTTAAAGTCTTCTCTGATCCAGGAGAGAGGAGCATTTCCTCTTTTAAGCCCTCCATGCCCATAAAATTCCTGGAAAATATTTCTAATATAATGCCTAATATATTATTTTACAAACATTTATTTAATCCTCCATTTCTCCTACTGTTGTGGAGGTCTTATACATCTTTGTATCCTCAATCCTTGCATAGTGCTAAAAAGAAGTTGAATAAATGACTGAATGAATGAATGGAGGTTTCCAAATGCCATGTCATGAGAATCTGGAGGTTTATATGGGCCCCTAAGGACATATCTGTTGTGAACATTAGTGCATACATACCTCAAAAGAAGAGAAATTCAATACAATAGACTCTTGATGTTGATAAGGAAATTTTGTGAAAGGACTTCAAGAGTTGTTACAGGCTTTTGTTACTTAAAAACTTGTAGCACTTCTTATATGTACATTTCTAATCCTGCTTGAATACCTCTAAACCTGGTGTTATATTATACTAAATTGGCTGCCAAAATGCCATAATTCACAAAAATTATAAAAATGATAAAGAAATGCTTTAAATTAGGGCCGGCCCCGTGGCTTGGTGGTTAAGTGAGCGCGCTCCACTGCTGGCGACCCGGGTTCGGATCCCGGGCTCGCACCGGCGCGCTGCTTCTCCGGCCATGCTGAGGCCGCGTCCCACATACAGCAACTAGAAGGATGTGCAGCTATGACACACAACTATCTACTGGGGCTTTGGGGGA